GATTTAAGACAAATTTTTAAGTTACACTTAACAAAATTAAAAAAAATTAATCTTTTCTACCAATTATTTTTGTATATTGTTAAAATTAGTATTATAAAATCTAATTTTAATACAGTAAATTCATTAATATAAACATACTTGTGCCAATAATCTTTTTGCAATTTCATCATTCCATTCTTGACCATTCCGTAGAGCATTTAATTCATCTTCAGAAGGTGGAAAGTCTTTTTTAAATACCATAATATATCGATCAACTTCTTCTTCGCCAAAAGAATATGCCAACATTCCAGCATCTTCTGAAATTTCATGTCTAAAAAACATAATAATATAATTTCCAATCAAAAATGTCAAAAAAATATATTTATTACACAATATTTCGTAGCACTTTATTCAAGGGAGGGAATTTTAATCGTGTCTGGTTGTCATCTTGAACAAATTTTGTCACTTTTATCTCCGTCTAAAATGAAATGCTACATTAATTATAGGTTTTACATTTTAAATTGACAAATTTTTAATTTAAACAATTATCATTATTATAAATTTTTATTATAATTTTGCAAAAAATAATAGTAACAAGAAATAAGATAAATCAATTATTGTTACTAATACATTACACAAGACACCAAACAAAAAAATATTTTAAATTCATAAGATGAGGAAAATTTAAAAATAACAGAGAATTCATTATTATTAAAGTAACTAAAAATCTTTCATTTCCTTTGAATAACATTAATCAACTAGAGCAAGATTCCTATCATAAGAAATTCAAATGATTATATTATAATTTATATAACACTGAATATTACTTCATTTCGAAACTTTATCATTCTTTCTTTTTCTTTATTTTGTTGTTTCAAAAATGCTTCCTGGGCTTCTAAAAAAAATTTTTTTTTAAAGTTTAATTTGACAACATTGTAAATACATAAAGGTATTCCATCGAATACACATAAATATAATTAAAACCAACTTTTTTTGTCTCAATTTTTCTTTTGTATCCACAGTTGGTGGCTTTTCCATTGATTCCATTATCGACCCGAGTAAGTCCATTGCAACAATCCTTTGTAAAATTGAACTAATTAATAAAATTGAAAAAAACTATGTTCAACAAAATAGTATAATGAATATCAGTTGTGAATTAGTCACGAATTCAAACGGAACGAAAAAAACATTTATCTTTTCGCTAATAATTTGCGGCAAAAAACATTTGTAGGATTTCGTACATTTTCAGAATGATTTATTAGGTATATTCACAAGTAATTATTTGTTTTTTTTTAAATATCATCTGAAACCCAGTGTTCCGATAAAATACTACAATATTAATGGAGTACACTGCGTTTTATCAAAACTATTATCGTTATCAATTATCTGGCGCGTAAGATAAATGTGGATTTAAACTCAAAAATGTATTTCCGTGTAGAAAACGTGAATTATTATTTCTATTAACTATTAGTTTGTGCATATATTAATCCGTGGTTGAAAATTAAAACTATTCGAATCGTTTATCGTCCACCAACGAGTAAGTATTTTAGTAACTGCGTTAAAAAAGTATTACTATTGACGTGTTTCGATTTACAATTTCGGTTATATTTTGTTTTAGAAATGGACTTGCAAAACTTGGATAATTATCCTGTTTACATATTAAATGTAGTACCAGAACTTTCCGAGGAAAGCAATCCACAAATGTCACAACAAATAAATTCTGATGAACCGCTGGCATACAACTTTTATCTTCCAAATGTTGAGGACCATACTACAATGGTGAACAGAGAAATAATTCTACCAGTAGATTCTAGAAAAAATAAATCAAAGCCAGTTAGGCAATCGCCCTACGGAAAAATTGTGCACAATATAGCAGGAAATCATAAACAAAATACTGAGTGAGTACTCTAATGTGGTACCAATAAAATTAGTAAATAATGTATTTATTTCAATTATTATGGGGCCCATAGCAATACATTTTCAGAAAAATCTATAAGTGATCTATCGTCATTATTAAAAGATGAAGATATCAATAATGACAATGAACAAGTACTGAAATATGACAAAAAAACTGACACAAATGTAATTTTTCAGTAAGTACAAAAGTAATATGTAATTATTGTTATTGCTTACTTTGAACCAATTTCAAATTCTAAATTGTTTATTTATTTCCATTACTGCACCAAAATAAGTTAATAAATTTGGTTAGTTTAAATATTAATCACTCAAAGCTAAAAACAAAATTTATTTTTATTATTATTTTCATGGTTTTAAAATAAAAATAAGTAATTAGTAGTACTTCAAAGAAAATATTAATTTTATTTATCTTTTGTTTTAACCTAAAATAAAATTATATTATAGACATGAAATAAACATGTACGCATTTGCATTTAGTTTAGTAAGACCAACTGATTTAGAAGAAAGGCCTGTTGAAATAAAAGTACCAAAACGAGGAAGACCCCGAAAAATTGTTTCCGAACAAATTAAGACTGAAAAAAATCAAAATGAAACATCAAAACCAGAAGATGTAACTTAATTTAATTTCCTTTCTTTTCTTTCTTACCTTCTCTTGATTTAACTGAATAATATTTGCACAGATAATTGAATATCCACTAATATCTACAAAATCTGGTCGTTTGAGTAAACCTCCAAAACACTTATTGAATGGTGAAAAAATAATTGAAACCAAAAAAAATTTGCTACCAATAATTGATAATGATGGTATGTACTTGTTTTTAATTTTTAATGTTGGTATAATTTAAAATAATGCTATATCAAATTCAAATTCAACAACCTAGAATGTTAAAATTAATAATACTAACTAAAACTAACTGAATATTACTATATAATATATAAAGTGAAATATTATAACTTGAAATATGTTCTCAATACTACTTTTATAACCTACAATAATGAAACCTTCAAATCAATACATAATTTTATTGACACATTGTTCATCATATCTTTTACTTTGACTGTATAAAATTGAATTATTCATTTTATTTTTAATAAGTAATTGTTACTTATGTGTTTTCAGCTATTTTATGTAGAAAAAAAGTAAAATATAATGTGAAATCAGATTTTGTTTGTGGAGGATGTGGTAAAACTTATTTGGGTCATAAACGAATGCAAGAACATTTGGAAAGGTTTCCTACTCATAAAATTAATTCAGTTGAACAGCAAGTTGATTCAGAGTTACAAGATATTTTTAAAAACCTTCAAGAAACACCAACAAACAGTAATTTATCTTTAATATTATTCATAGTATAGATTTATTTCATTGTCTTCTATCATTTTAACATTTTTATTATGTTAATGTAAATATATTCCAGTTAATGTTGAAGTAATTAATGGTAAAAAAGAAACTCATACCCAAACAGAGAATTCAAAAGATCGACATTGCGGTTATATTAAGTCAAAGAAAAATTTGGCGATTCATTTGAAACAAGTAACTATAAATATATAAATGTTTTCTTTTTTAATATTACAGTTGTATCAATTTTAATTATTTCATCATAGGTCATGAAACATTTAAAAAAGTCAAACCTCATTAAATCATTGTCTGGAACAGTATCGGTTTGGGATTTATTATCGAGTAATCTTGAGAGTGGAAATTTACAAGAATTTTCTAAAGAGTTACAAACTCTCATTATAAATTTAAAAAGTGTATCAAAATCTTTGAAACTAGTATCAAAGTGTGAATCTAGTCTTATAAACCACAATCAAATGGTAAAATAGTTACAAATAGCATTTCTTTTTTTTTTTTTTATTATTGTTCATAATTTCTAATTATTGTTCAATTTATTTCAGTTCATTGACGATTCTTTAGGGCATTTGTTTGGCTTATCACAAGGCACTTATACTTTACATAACATTGAAAACGAATATGAAATGGAACAATCTTCTAATGTTTGGACTATGTCTTCTCCCTCAAAATCTGTTGAACCCAAAACATCTACACCCCAAAATTTAAATCGGCATTCTAGTCCTATTCACTTAAATCTTTTTGACAGTCAATCTTCAAAGGTAGATTTCTTGTTGAGTTCCAGCATGGAAGAATCAATAATGTGCGAAGACAATCAAGCCGTTTTGGAAAGTGTAGACGGTCTTGTATCTGAAAGATTACGTTCTATGACTGACCATTTGCACTCGGATGTACCTATAATTGGTGAGAATTAATTTTAGAATTTTTTTTCCATTGATACTTACATGACAAAATGTTTTAGATTATCCAATTGCGTCTACTTCATCTACATCCAATGTCTCTCAACCAGATTCCTTTATGAGTCATGGGGTCTACGAAGTTTTTAGTAACGAACTGAATTTGGTACCTACATCTACAGAAGAGTTTATTAAAAGCTTAGAACAATTTGAACCCTTAAATGATTCTGATAACACTTTAAGCACGGAACCAAGAATGTTGGACTTTGAAGATCTACAACATACATTTCATACAGCTTAAGTCTTAAAATGCAATTCATAAACTGTTATTTATTGAATTTATTTATACATTTAACCTAGTCATTTGAGAAATTATTCTATTATTCTTTATATATATATATATGTATATATATTATATATTTATATACTTTTATTATACATTTGTCTTGAAACAAAATTAACCAATTCAACAAATAAACTATTTACTATATAATTAATTGAAACTTGATTGTCTAAGAATACCTTCTACATTCGTGTCTTTTGAATGCATTTTTTTTCTGCATTAAAATTATTTATTACATTGGTTCTGATTATGTTGAAAACAACATTTATGAAAATATTTCATTTCTATAAAACAATAATTTTATTTTTTAATTTGTGGCTATGATAATTACATTTTCATTTCAATTTTAAACTAAATCAAAATCTATAAATTATTAGTTAAATTCCACAATCTACAATATTTAAATATTCCACAAATTAAAAAAAATGTATAAATATTTTTACCTTTTAAATTATTAATTTTCATACTATGAATTTTGAAATAATACATAATAAATACATCTGATCTGACAAAATAATTATTTATCAATAAAAGTAATAATTCAATGTTAAAACTTAATAAAAACAAATAATGTAATTAAATTAAATTTTTTTTTCCATTATTATTTATAATATTAAGTTTACATGCAATTTGAAATATATGAACACCATAATATTATTTAAATTGTAAACATTTTTCATAAAATAGAAATAGTTTATGTAAAATATAATGAGACACAAAAACAAGTTATTTTTTTGAAAATATAATTTATTTAATGTATTTAATTAATTACAAGTAGAAACTAGTTTTACTAGTTATTGAAAAAAAAAAAACTTTTTTGTTTGAAATACAGATATTTTTATTTTACGTGTTTTTTAATAACAAACATGTTTATTTAACTAATTATATAAACTCAGAAATTCATCGATTGTAACTATTAGTGATGTTTGTAATTACGCTCACGGATTATTTTGCCGTAGTTGATAGTGTAAAAAAACAACATCGAACCAGCAATAATATGGATAAGTGGAGCAATTGTAGCACGTTTTGGTTGGACATATTTGTGAGACCATCTCCAGTAAGCACGAGAAAATAATCCAGCAATTGCTGATGGCGACTTATTACGACGTCCAATCCATTCAGTTACCTAAAACCAATATAAGCATTGGATAAAATAAAATATTTAAGATCTTATATGCTAAGTAAATTATAATTATGCAAACATCAAAATAATTTCTCAATTATTATTTTATTTATTTTTGTTTCGTACTAATAAAAAGTAATATAACTGAATATGAAAATGAAATAAACACCAATACTTCTATAAAAAATTTTAAGGTTTATTTACATGCATCTGTTAACAATTATGTCTAAATTTTTACAAATTGCATGTTAATTAATTATAACAATAGTATCAAAGAAACTTATATGCTTAGTAATAATAGCAAAGTTAAATCTGTTTTTATCAAAAAGTAAGACTATTCAAGATTTGTTATCGTTTAATATAAAGCTCAATAAAATATTATACAATTTAAACAAATTCAAATATAATGAAAACTGAAGAAATAACAAATACCAAAGTTATAAATAAGATGAAAATATATTTTCTAAGTCAAGGACATAACAGATGGACTTTTTAATGTTAATAAATCCATTTTTGTCTACAAAACTACACATAGTTTAACAATATCACAGAGCAAAGGAAAGCGAACAAATAAATATATATAGTTGATTTAATATGCATTTGATGATAATCAATGAAGATTCTAAGTAGTAATATAATGGAAAATGCTTACAAAGAGAAAATTTCCTGAAATACTAGTATAATGCAAATTCTTAATGCGAATTCTTGTAATAAAATTATGCGATTAATCGATTGCAATGTGGAGTTGACATGAAATATGAAGAAAATAAGTGTTGTTGCACACGCAGTCAAATTATCTGTATCCGACGGTCAAAGACAAAGTTTGCAGTAGCATTAAGATTGTCGGAAAGACGAGGACAATGCGTATATTAGTAGGAAACTGAACAAGTTGTTAGCGTTCAGGTTTCTCATGTAAAATGTAATAATGTTAAAACAATAGTCACCTCGCCGAGTTTCAATTGCGAGAAAGGCGTGTCAGGAGTTCCGTAGAAACGAGCCGGATCGTAGGGCCCGTGCACTTTGGGGTTGTATTCGGCGGGATAATCACCGATAGCCATATTGAGAGGCGTTCAGACGTCCGGTTGAATAATGGATCGATGTCCAAGACGGTAAAACAGCGACGAAGTTTATTCAACAAAGGTTAAAGGGTTGGTCGGGTGAATTTCCGTACGTTGCTTTTTATCAGCAATAGGCGATCAGCTGGTCAGACCAGTGTGGCCAACGCGACACACGTCGAATGAACAGTATTCCCGGTGCGCGTGCGAAGTCGCATCCCTCGGCGCGTTTTACGGTTTTATGGTTTAAACACGACTGCCGCAGCACAATCGAACTATTGAAACACAGTGGCGTATATAAGGGGGGGCAGTGGCGTACATTCGATCTCTTCTGGGGAGGGTTAACAAAAATAATCATTATCTTTTTTTTTTCCGTTGTACAGATAAATAAGATAAATAACTGCTATAAACAGTTATTATTTTATACAACTTTTTTACCAATTTACAGTCTACTTTTACATTACAGTAAATTAATAGCTATTGGAATATAAAAAACAGCATAGTTAACAAAATTTTTCAAACACCTATCAATATAATTATTTAATAATCATAATATTTGTATAAGTGTATATTTTAAGTTCAAAGCGTAATAATGAAACTACGAATATATTACACTTCATCAATAATAAAACAATTTTCTTTTTTTTTTCGGCCCTGGGGGGGGGGTTTGAACCTGGAAACCCTCCCCGTGTGTTCGCCACTGAGGGGGGTGGTTAGATGTTCAAACCCCCCTCCTCCGAAATTTTCCTTGTTAAGGCGTTCGTATGAATTTATTTGATCAATGTATCAACTAAAACCCAATAGACCAACATGGGATGAAACAAAAATGAAAATTGCAGGCGAGGCGTATAAAAAAAATAAATGTTCACTTTATATATGAGAAATAAATATTACGAGGTAATTAAGATAATGACGAACCGTCGTGCGTCACCGATAGTCATAATATCTATACTGTCTATAGTAGTATATATATATTCTATATATCTTAGTTCGTGGTCCGTCTATTATTAACCTGTGGTACAGTCTTCCCGATTTTTGATAACAATTGATACGAATTTGATAAGATCAAAAAAAAATATAACATATAATAAAACAATGAGCTTATTGATAATAAATAATGTGGATATTAGAAATACGCCCAAAATTTGAATTGAACCGATAAGGACACGATACTAAAGAGACGCACTGTGGCGTTCAGGATAACTTAATACGCAGCAAGGTTGCAGAAAGAATAAAAAAGAAAACAAAACTTCTTCAAATGAAGACATGGGCAACACAAAGCGTAACAACTTGCTTAGATATATTAATGTGAAGCATCAGGATTTTCAAAAAAATTTTAATAAGAAATAGTGCATCCATGTTATAAATAACAAATAAACCGCTATATTGATCCTTCTATTCTCGCACACCATAAAGAAAAATAGTTAGAAATAATTAGAAATGACATTCAAGTAAGGATGAATAGAAACTATTAAACCTACAACAGACCTTAATATTAAGTCGGTTCATGTTTTTTTTATAATTAAAATAAATTGTTGTATCTAAATAAAAACTTCTACATTTAAATAATATTTTTTTGGCGGTATGCAACGATAAGACAGATAATCTATGTCCAATATTACTTGTCTTATTCTAATCACATTTGTTAAATATTGTCATTCTTACAAATTATATTTTTCTTTTTCTTTAATTCTCAAAATGTAATTGATTATTAAAACATTGTATTTATTTTCTATATTATATTAAACAGTCGAAATCTAGGAGTCAATCCAGATTGAAACGAACTTATGAGAGACAAACACATACCTACTTAATCCCACATATACTGGTACATCGTTTTTCTTTTGAATAACAACTGTAATTATAATTAAATCAATTAATTTTATATTTTTTAGTTACTATTTTATTTTTTTATATTTAACTCATTAGTTTTTTAAACTTACAATGATTAAGTATTCTCGGTTATGTAAATAATATTTTTCCATTACTTAAATTAATTTTTTGCATTAAATATTAATTTAAATGGCGTCCCTATCGTCCAATGCATATACGTGTATTGCAATAGCCCCAAAAGGGTCTTTATTGACCCTTGTGGGTTGATCGGTGGATGAACACCTCACCATCGTAAAAAAAAACTATTTTTCAGGAATTCATCAATCACCTCCAACAAAGTAATGGAATCAAGACTGGAGTTATCTATATTTAAGTATGGTATTTATTTATTTATTTATTATGAATTTTATAGGTAGAGCGGAATAGAACTTATGTTTGGCATCCTATAAGAATTTAATAATTTTAAATTTTATAATTTTAATTTTGTCTAGTGTTGGATATTTTTGTTTTTTATCAATAACTGTAGTTTTTCTTTATTTATTTATTTTTTTTTTTTTGGTTTTTCAATTATGTAGTGTTAAATAATAATTATGTGTTGCCTTCTAATAAGGAATTTTTTTTTTTAACATTTTGATGTCTTATTGATTTATTGTTCTTCTATTTTTTGTTTTATAATTTTTGATAAGTATTTGTTTGTTGTACTATTGACGTTTTGGATTTGTATATATTTTTTGCCTATTTTTATGTTTGGTATTTTTTAGATCCTTTTTCTAGGCTTTTTTTTTAGGTAGTGTCGGATAGTATTTAAGTTTTGGTTTATATTTAGGGATTATCGTTTCCTGTATGAAGTCTTGTTGTACTGTTGGTGTTTTGGTTTTGTAAATCTTTTTATAATTGATATTTTTTATTTCTTTTTTTTTTGGTTGTTTGTAGTTAGGGTTGAACAGCTGTTCATTTGTTTTGGCTTCTAATTACGGATCTTCATTTTACTGATTTTATAATATTTTAAAAACTGAAAACAATATTTATTTTATAATTTTATATCTAACTATTTAATAACCAAATAAAAGTATTATAATTTAAATATTTTTAAGTTTCTTTTCAGAATTGCGATTTTTTTTGTCATCTACCTAAATCAAAATTGTTTCGGGAGCCAGGTTACCATTTTTCATTTATTTTTTTTAATTTTACCTTCTCATTTTTCATGGTATAAATATAATTATTATGTAACTTACTTAAAATAATTTAAAATTTTTTTTAATAAATCACATCTACTTTATATAATTACACTCGTTTAATAATTTAATAATCAAATAATAATAATAATAAAATTTCTATTATTTCTATGTTTCTTTTCAGAACTGGGATTTTTTTTTTTCATCAAGCTAAATCAAACACTGTATACTAATTGAGTCCCTATACCTGAACGGGGAAAAAAATAATATACTAATTGAGTCCCGGGTACAAACGAGACATATACTAATTGAGTCCGTGGTTAGGAAACTAATTGTATACGAATTGAGTCCGAGGATTATTTTGAGTAAAATATGAAATAACCATCCAGAGTCCAGGCACAGCGAAAATTATGAATAATAATAAAAATAATAATAAATAATAATAATAATAATAATAATAATAATAATAATAATAATAATAATTAAAATTATGTTGCACAGCCGCTCCATACGGATATACCTATATATACATATCATTCATATCATTTTTATGACTTTCGTCAGATAATACTGTTGCAATCAAACACAATAACTAGAATTTAATACGTACAATGCATTTCTCATAGATTTTTACCAATATAAAAATTGTTATTTTATCATTATCTATATTTATTTAATTATACATAAATTATTCATATTATATTATACCCCTACATTATTATATATGTGAGTATATTAAAAAATATTTAAAAAAAAAAAAACATTTTTAACCACACCTGTATAATTTTTTGTTACAGACAGTCCTATAAGTCTATAAAAAATGGAAAGGAAAATGTTTTTATTTTTAAAAAAATTTAACGGGACTCAGTTAGTATTAAAACATGGACTCAATCAGTATTATACCTAAAATTTCACTGGACTCAATTAGTATACACCCCAAAAACAACCCGGGACTCAATTTGTCATAAAAGGTTGTACTGGGACTCAGTTCGTATGCAGCCAAATCAAAATTCCCCCGGGAGCCGGGAATCCGTTTTTATTTTTTTTTCATTTTTAATGGTACACATTTGATAATTTTGTAACTTATTGGAATACACACAGCGGCCGGGGTTTTTATTACAATTATACTTCTTCTTCTTTTTTCAGCTTAACGGTCCTTGAAGGATCTAAGGTACCACAAGTAACCCTCTCCACCTTTGCCTGTTGAATGATAATTCAACCGATGCATTCATATCCACCAATTTAATGTCCCTCTCCACAGCATCCTCCCATCTCGTTCGCGGTCCATCCAGTGGTCGTTTTTTTTATATTGTTGCAGTTATGACCTTTTTTAGTATATAATCTTCAGCTCTCCATGTCCAAACAGCTCCATTCTCTTAGTTCTTATATACGTTAATATAGTTGATTTTCCATACAATTGGTACAAATTTTCGTTTTTCCGCCTTTCGAATGTTTCTAGATTGAGGTTGTACACCAGGCGAAAAATTTTTTCTCAACTCCTTTCTCACAAATATCGCCAGTTTTTTGTTATCTCTTTTCATCGTAGACCAAATCTTATACGCGTAAGTGACTATTGGTCTCAGATAGCTAACATAAAGCAGTGTTTTCGACCTTCTCGACAACAATTTAGATTTCAATAGCTTTTGGATGCTATGGTAACATCGATTAAGTTCAGTGGTCGAAATGGCTCAAGATAAGTGGAGGGATGCCTTACACTTTAAATTTCCTGATATCATCATAACATTCTTCACACTTTGGGTACCTATAATATATTTATTTTATTTTTTTGTAGTTCACATAAGGTATATTATCTCAGTCCCTAGCTCTAAATAGGGGTCCATACGGGTTGCGAAACGGCTTGTACTAAACAACACGATGAGCCGGGCGCCCGGGCTTGCATGTTAAAAACAATTATTTTCACCAAAAAAAAAATAATTTCTTATATATAAATATAAAAATGATAATAAGTATATCATTTTAAAATACAAGTCTTAGGAGGAATGCGTTATTCTAGACAAAACAAGTAGAGGGATGAAAACTGAAAATACAAAAAAGTAGAGGGATGCCATCCCTCTGTATCCCCCACTTCGAGCACTGATTAGGTTAGATT